CGTGCTACAGTAAAGCGGGGTTTGTGCATAGAGCCACAATCCAATACCCTACCGCACAGGTAACTGGACTTGGCCCTGCAACTCCTCGAAGCCTCCAGAAGAACCCTAAATCCAAACCTTTCAAATGGAAAGATCCTAATTGAAGTCCTATGAAAACCCCCAGTAACAACCGGCGCATGCCTAAGCAAAAGCCCAGAACCCTAATAGACTCCGTTGATAGTATATACTTAGGCCTTAAAGTACCTATATAGGGACCCCTTTAAGGCTTAAGTATCTACTATAGAGCTACATGGAGCCTTTGGGTAAGGGTTGTAAGCGTTTAGTCAAGCCCTATCAAAATCTGTACGAATACCCCGAAGCGCTTCACCCTGAAGGCCCTAACCCCAAACCCGAAATTCTAAACCTTAAACCCCGAATGCTACACCCCAAAACCGCAGGCCCTAAACCGCAAGGCCACAAAGTCCAGACCCCAAAAGCCCTAAGTCACTAAGCCCTAAACTCTGAAGCAGACAATCAAACCCAAAAGGGTCCTTAGTACCTATATCGTAAAATGTCGGGTTTCTATGTTAGGAATCCTTGTTTTGATTTGGGAATCCTTTCTCCACGACAATACCTAGGGCCCTTTGGGAACAAAACAAGCCTCGGAAGTCGACTGGTCCGAGAACGAGCCGGAGGTCACCGTGGTCGACGCCGCGGGCGACCACCCTGCGCCGCGTTTAGGATTTCAGGTTTGAGGGCTTTGGGATCTCTTCATATGAGAGCTTAGGGATTTAAGGTCTGAGGGTTTAGGGTTTGACGGTTTTGGGTTTAGGGTTTCAGTTTCAGGGTTTAGGGTTTCGAAATGAGATTTTACGATATGGGCTTTAGGGTTTAGGTGTTAGGGTTTGCAAGGGGGTTAGTATGTAAGATTTGGGTTGTAGGTTGGGGTTTCGAGATTTGGCGTTTGGGGTTCTGAGTCTCAGGATTTGAGGTTGTATGTTATAGGGTGGGGGGTTCTCTTGTTCGTGGATTTCCTGAAACACCCAGCAACTACCCCAACTACTCTTTACTGCACCCACATGACCTTGTAAATGCAGGACCCCTTTAAATTACCTTCAATCTCTCTGGTATTTCAGGTGTCTGTTTCAGTTTGATAAGGGTTGTATATGTGTTTGATCAGGCAAAAACCTTAAACCACAGAAACACGTTGGGATGTTTGGGGTTGGGAACCTATGAATTATGGGGCTCAGGGTGTTTGCTGATTCCAGTTCAGGGTCTAGCAGTTTCGACGTTGCAGACAGCAGGAGGAAAGAAGGTTTACGACACTACGCCAAACAAGGACGGCAAAAGCAATGGGGATGGATGCACCTGTCAAAGGGTAAAAGGAGGGACCCCCGATAAGGACCCCTAGGTATATATCCATAATATAGCCATTATACACCCATTATAGGGTAGGGGTCCCCATTAAGAGTCCCTTTTTTTCCCCTTTGAACCTGGGCAGAGGCTGTGCGGTTGCAACTAAAGCGAGGAGGAGTATCGGAGATGCTCCAGACTTTGTGCCAACACCGTGGAGGTTAAGTGTCTTAGGGCTTATAAGACTCTCAGGGTTTCGGGCTTCGGTAGGCTTTCGGGCAGAGGCTGAAAGTTAATAGGGTATCGGGTTGAGGCCCCAGAGCACCAGAAATCTACAGAGTAGTTTGCTGGGCCATGGTTAATTACTGTGAGTGTATACAGGGTATACGCAACAGTACCCCGCCACATAGATAGCAAGCTTCTGGCCTGACGACAGTCCGATACAATACCCTTAAATGCAAACCCTGCATCTCCGTATTCCGGACAGTGCCTGGGCTCGTCAGGGCGGCAAAGGCCTGCCACAGGAGAGTTGAAAGCCGACATGCACTTTACGGCTAGGAATGGTTCAGCCATCAGTCTCAAGCGTAGTTCTTCAAAACCAACATCTCAATGAGGAAATCGGGGTCTGGTGCGAATGGAACCCGGAGACTACGAGCAATGATTCAGGGTCGTGGTGTGTGACCTCTTCGGTTTAGGACTACTCATACCAGGCATTGCTCCCAGGGCTTTTCATCTGCGCTTTGACTGGGGTGTGGGGTTGCTGAGCGTTTAGGGTTTAGGGTCGCCCGTGATGCCCCGAAGCTTTTACCTAGGCAGCTCGAGAGCTTTAGGACCACGAAAGCTCTTGAAAATCAAACAGTATGGGTCCAAGTACACAAACAATCCGGATTGCGGCACCAAAAGGATATTGGCATATTATTCCCATGGTTCTTATAGAAAAGTCAGAATGCTTATAGTATAAGTATAAGTTGTAGTTAAAAATACTTTCTGATTATACTTAATTATAGTTGTACATAAGTTTAGTATTATTATTAATCAGGTCATAATTATGAGTGTACTATTTTTCGAACCCAGCCCTCTTCTGTGAAAAGAATCAAGGGGCGGCCGCGAAGCCATCGATCACTGTGATTGACTGTGATGGCAACATTCGGTCGTGGAACGTTGAACCTCCTAAAGGACCCGAATAGAAGTCCTACTGGAACTTTTGAGCCCGTTAACTACCCTACCCTCCACTTAAAGCCTGACCCTGAACCGTCACAGAATCTCTGGCCTGGGGATGCGGTGTCTGCATCTGAGGGCTGGAACGCACTTGCGTGGATGGCCTCATGCAAGGGACCCATGCAGTTATGGAAGGCTTCGTGAGTGACTACGTGGTTTTGGAACTGACCTGCAGGTCGGGGGGACTTTATTCGGTGCTCCAATTACGGTCCTTTCCGGGTAGTTACAACTCTAGATTTCCCCTACTTACTAAGTCCCCGATGCAGCTTAAGACTTCATAGTCTTTGGTTCTGAGCCTAACCCTGTTCGGAGCATCAACAGCCATTATTGTTGAGGGATTCGGGTCTGTGGTTTCGGGGTTGTAATTTCGTCCTTTTCCGCGTCACGCACCTGCTCCGTCAGCAAATAACGGCCCGTTTACGGGAACCATCGGATTTCCACAAGGGTTGCGGCTTACGTTTGGAGCGCTTAGGATTAGAGCTTTGGGGCTTGAGCTCCTGCACGCCGAAACTCAAAGGGCTCTATTCCGTTCTACGCAAATTAGTGAAGTTTTGCGCGATGAGGCTTAATGACATTATGGCTTAGAGTTCATGTAAACATACAGGTTTTAATGGTTCCAAGCCCCAGAACCGTTTAAACCACGCACGCCTTCACCCCGAAATAGCATCTTCCAGCTCCCTCCGCCTCCTCGACACAACCCTGCTGCAGAAAGCTCTCAAGCACAAAACCCTACAACCCAACCCCGCTGATCCGTGGAATAAAGCCCGCCTGCATCTCTAAAGAACTTCCCTTGGCCTATAAGTATAGGCCTCAAACACTGAACCCAAAATCCTGTCTCCTAACCGTGAACGCACACCTTACAGCTTAGACAACTCGAAGCCCGAATTGCCTTTCCAAACGCGGATGTGCCGCTGTTAGAGGAACACCCGACCTCCAGTGGAACATGGCTGGGCAGAAGGGCTGAAAGGGATTCGGCCTTTCACGAGGGCTTGAGGGTTCTGGGGCTTCGGGCTTCGCGACTCAGTTTAAAGATTGCTGTGACAATTTGGTATATACACTTATTGTACTAAACAATATAAGGAGATACTGGTCCGATCCCTAAACCCGAAACTCGGGTTTCGGATCAGGTTTTGTTGAGCTCCTTGTTCCTCTGGCTTGGTGGTTACGTTGGGGTGTCAAGCATGAGGATCCTGCTTAGGGCTGAGTACAGGTGCCTCCATGATTTCAAGAGTATACCATACCACAAATGTACTCAGGGACTTGAAGCAAGGCAAACAGATTCTTTCAACTTTCCCCCCGGCGGATCCCTAAAACCTGAACCCTCAACCTCAAAACCTAAACGATTAACCCTAAACCCTAGTAAACCTTAAACCCTAAACCCTAAAACCTAAATCGTGAACCCCAGTTGAAGGAATCGGAGTCGAAAGAATCCTGGTTGACAGAAACACCCGAAGTTGATGAAGAAGGCTTCGACCTTGAAGCAAATATCATTAACTAGTATATGGTCAGGTTTCTGGACTCTGCTGACCGCACTTGACCGCTCGGACTGCGGAAGTTGTGCCACCCGTGAGACCTCGCAACTCCTTGCCCTCCAAAAAGGAACTTTTTTTTGTTAATGGGCCCTTTTCGAACTGCAGAACAGTTAGACTTCCTGTACTAGGAGGAGCCGATGGTTGGGGCCTGGTGTAACAAGCATAATAAACCCTCCGAAATTCCTCAAAGGAACGGGTTTAGGGCTTAGGGTTTAGGGTAGGCAACCGCGATCGACCCTGTAAATATGAGGGCTTAAGCTTTAGGGTCTAGAAGGGTAGGCTTTAGGGCGATGAGTACAATGACAGTCAAGGTACGAAATGATCACAGAACCAGCAAAGCACCTAAACTGAGCTTCGACTGCGATTCTCCTGAAACCAAACACCCTAAACCCTAAACTATTGGACACTTGGGCACTCGATCTACGGGTCTTCGTGGCCAGGAAAAAGTTGGTGGTATATCGTACCACATATCTATAATAAGGAACCCGAATGAATAATGATTGTATGAAACAATTAAGCCCTCATTCTGTAGTAGCTTACCGCGAAAGTCAAGGCCTCTCGTACATTGCCAACGTCCGCACTCCAGACCCGCACCCAGATGCGAAGTTCTAATGATTGAACCTTGCTTTTGTCTGTGTTGTTTAAAGGGCTCTTGGGCTTTCTCGGATTGGAGGATTTAGGGTTGAGGTTTGAGAGGCTTAGGTGCCCAGACGATTAGGGTGTTACTGTTAAACCTTTGACGCCAAAACCCTGCAATATACAGTGTTTGAGACCTGAACCCCTGCTCAGAGCTTGCGGTCATGCCGTGAACCTCAAACGCTACATCTCCAAACCAGTAAAACTCATATAAACTCATAGACCTCGCCTGCTTGAACTCTCAACTACGACGCGGATGGTTTCTATGCCTTTTGCATTCGGTCAGTCCGGTCGCAGTGCAGTGTTGTTGTGAGAAAGCTGGACAGGTCGGGGCTTGAAGTCCAGCACAGAAATCCTGTTGGCCACATCTGGAAGAAGATACAGCCTCTGGTTTGCTACGATCGCATCTGTAAAGCAGTAGGAGGCACCCTCTTCTGCAACCCGAAAGTACCGTACCGAGGAATCAGCTTCCAAGTCAAGGACCGCGATCTTGCACGAGACCACGTAAATTTGGTGGCCATGGCGGGCAATGCTCGGCCAACCCGCACTGGATGAGGCTGGAACGCCTCTAGGTTGCCTGGTGGCGAGATCTACTACTAGGATCGGCATTGTTGTCCGTCCGCGACCAGGCGCTGCATATAGGCGACCATTGGCTTCCAAGAGCTGTGCCCATTTCATGGCTCCTGTCCCTACCGTACTGGTATCAATGCCCTCGAAAGACTGATTCCCTGCATGGTATATGAGCAAGCACTCGGCATCGAAAGGTGCTGCATACAAAGTGTCATTGACAGCAGTCATCCCCAGCCACATGAATGAGACGTCATTTGCAGCGAACGTGCTTGGCAACATGCAGCCCTTTATGCTGGCTGGGATTGGAACGCTAGTCAAAACAGCGAGAGGGTCTCTCCCGACATTCATCCTGACCAAGCTTCCAAACGGCGAATTAGGAAGAAGGTGTAGGACTGTTCCCACAGCAACAATGCTGGAGAACCTGCAAAGCTCACCTCGATAACAGAACCGAGATACAGGGAAGAAGTCGGTCTGGCGAGAGCTGGTGTTCACAATCAGCAATGCGTCTGCAGCACTGAGCACGGGGGCTGCATAAATGCACTCCTTCACAACAGCTGCCGATAGCCCCAAACCCGTTAGTGTGTTGTGAGGAACTTTACGCGGGAACGAGGTTGGAATGAATGAAACGTTCTCGGTGTCCAAATCCATAACCAGCACGTCGTTGTAGTGCCACGGGATGGCAAAAAGTTGATTCCCCACCCGCGACCAACTAGCCCAACTCGGCAGCTCCCCCTGTCTAGCCACGTCGACGTCTTTGACATAAGCCGCGCTTGAGCACGACTTCGACATTTCTGGCGCTGGCAGAGTCTGCGGGGCTGTTTGGCCAAAGCGCCAAGGCTCCACGCATCGGGGCGCCTCGCAAAAACAAACCTTCAAGGGATTCGAAGGCCAAAAGTTGGGGACCCTGTACTCTGCAACATCACCCTCACTCGTCTCTTGCACTGACCCTGCTGCTGGCTCTCCGGTCGCGCGTATCCATCGAGAGCCCTCGCCACTGGCAGGCTCTCCACATTCCTGCGCAATGGGGACAAGAGCCGCCCTGTCATCTTCGGAGAAGAACTTGCCAGTCAACCTCACGTTCACCGTCGAGATCCCCAATACCTGCACATTTCATGCGAACCAACCCGTTTTCTGATCCCGGCCATACAGGACAATTGACAATGCAAGTACAACTACTTCACGCTGAATTCGGTTCTCGCCTGATTCTACTATTCGGGCTTTGGGTGTACGAGTGCGTGAAGCTTGTAGTAGGGCTTAGGCCTTGTAGGCTTAGGAAATGCTCTGCAAAACCAGCCAGGTCACCATCCGTGTGTAATCAACAGGATCGGGCAGCAACCCACACGTGTACGACGAAGCGTCCATACCCTGCAGCACTCCCGGACCAATCGGAGGATGCTTGTTGCTTAGCTTGATACCCGGCACCTTCTTCTTTCGAAGTTGCCTTGCTGTTTTGTACAGCCTTAGCAGTTCGCGAATCCCTGCAGGGTGCGAGAAGGGACGGAATCTGTAAAGATAGGGCGATGACAGGCGTAAATCTGCAGGAATCTCCTCCTTCAGTGTCTTCATGTATCGCGGGTGGATGCTGACTCCATAAAACCCAGTTCGGTTGATCTCTTCCTGCACTCCACGCCAAGTTTTGCTGCTATTGCTCCAATTGAAGAGTTCGAACTCTTGCTCTTGAATCCAATCAATGAACTTCTGGCGCTGAGGCCACAAGATTTCAGAATCATAATGTAGGAACCTGATTAGGAATTTCCCCTGATTAGGCGGGCACGGGCCGGGTGTTGGGGTCAGATTTGTATGTGTTTTAATTGAACCCCAAATAAGGATAAAAAATTGAAAAAACAACCCCCCCAATTAGACAGGCTCGTTCCATCCACAGAAACAATTTGATTGACTTTCAATTGAACCCGAAATAAATAAAATGTCCCCCCAATTAGACAGGATACCCCACAGCCCCCAGCCCTTCTTATGGACCCTGAATAATTCTTAAAGATAACCCCCTGATTAAAAAGGGTCTAATCTCTCACAGCAACCAGCACCCCCCTAATTAATTTTTTAGCTCGCAGCCCCTGATTAGTTAGGACCCCACAGCCCCCAACCCTTCTTATGGACCCTGAATAATTCTTAAAGATAACCCCCTGATTAAAAAGGGTCTAATCCCTCACAGCAACCAGCACCCCCCTAATTAATTTTGTAGCTTACAGCCCCTGATTAGTTAAGACCCCACAGCCCCCAACCCTTCTTATGGACCCTGAATCATTCTTAAAGATAACCCCCTGATTAAAAAGGGTCTAATCCCTCACAGCAACCAGCACCCCCCTAATTAATTTTTTAGCTTACAGCCCCTGATTAGTTAGGACTCCACAGCCCCCAGCCCTTCTTATGGACCCTGAATAATTCTTAAAGATAACCCCCTGATTAAAAAGGGTCTAATCCCTCACAGCAACCAGCACCCCCCTAATTATTTTTTTAGCTTACAGCCCCTGATTAGTTAGGACCCCACAGCCCCCAACCCTTCTTATGGACCCTGAATAATTCTTAAAGATAACCCCCTGATTAAAAAGAGTCTAATCCCTCACAGCAACCAGCACCCCCCTAATTAATTTTTTAGCTTACAGCCCCTGATTAGTTAGGACCCCACAGCCCCCAGCCCTTCTTATGGACCCTGAATAATTCTTAAAGATAACCCCCTGATTAAGAAGGGTCTAATCCCTCACAGCAACCAGCACCCCCCTAATTAATTTTTCAGCTTACAGCCCCTGATTAGTAAGGACCCCACACGACCCAACCCTTCTTATGGACCCTGAATAATTCTTAAAGATAACCCCCTGATTAAAAAGGGTCTAATCCCTCACAGCAACCAGAACCCCCTAATTAATTTTTTGTACTACTACTGTACTACTACTGTACTACTACTGTACTACTACTGTACTACTACTGTACTACTACTGTACTACTACTGTACTACTACTGTACTACTACTGTACTACTACTGTACTACAACTGTACTACAACTGTACTACTACTGTACTACTACTGTACTAATACTGTGCTACTACTGTACTAGTAACTAGTAGTATACTAATTAATATATCAATATGTATTAGCTTTCCCTCGAACAGGTTTCCCCCAATTCCCCAAACAAGGTCTTGTATTGCTTTAAACGTTCAACCCCCCAATAGCGCGGAGTTTGGCTACACACCCCCAATTAGACAGGCTCACCCGAGCTCGCCCGGAAAAACCTGACCTTGAATAAACCCCCATGCCCACCCCCCCAATTAGACAGGCTCACCCGATCTCGCCCGGAAAAACCTGACCTTGAATAAACCCCCATGCCCACCCCCCCATTAGAAGGGTCCACTGGTACTGTACTACTACTGCTGCACTACTACTGTACTACTACTGTACTACTACTGTACTACTACTGTACTACTACTGTACTACTACTGTACTACTACTGTACTACTACTGTACTACTACTGTACTACTACACTACTATACTGGTCCCCAAACAAGGTTCTCCGGGACCTTGAACAAGGTTTCCCCCAAACCCCCCCAACAAGGTTCTTCCACTTAATCGTTGCGGGGGTTTTGGGGGCGAGGTGTCCGACCTTGTGACCTTGATAGCGGGGGGGGGGGGGCTCCCCCCCTTTCTTAATCAGGTTCCCACATTATGCAGTCTTGTTTGGCACATGGGGCAGGAAGTTGAAGACCAAGTCGAGGTTGCGATACAAGTAGATCCCGAAGGATTTCCGCAACTCGTGAAGAACCAGCTTCCTGCCTGCTGTGGCGCGCTGCCATGCTGCATTGATGACCCAAACGATCCGGTCCACGGAACTATGTCCCGATCTGCTGATCAAATACGACATGGTCTCGTCCCACATGGCAGAGTCGTTACCTTCGCCACGAGTGTCTCCCCTCCCCGGGGTGTCGATCCAGTTGAGATCTGGCTTCATGAGAATATCATCGAAAGGATGGGCCTTCACCTCCTTGACCTTGCTAGTGTTGGATCGCATAGTCCCGCTTGGGTTGCACTCCTCAAGGTTCCCTGTCATCCATGTGCATAGCTCTGACTTGCCGGCCCCCGTCAGACCCACTGTTAGGAAAGTCAGGGGAGTATTCATGAACTCAAACTTCACTTTCGCGGTTTGCAGCCGCTTCGCCGCAACCAAATACTGGTTTCTCTCATCGGTAGCATTCTGCAATTCCTTGATGGGGTGTAGCTGGCTACAAAGTGGGGTAAAAAGTGTCACACATCATGAAACCGCCCCACCTTCTTCAATCTACACATGCACCGCTAAGTCAGAATCACAAGCTGGATCGATAGCCGTGTACCCTTGCCTACGTTGGCATCCCAACGTTCCACGGGAGGTTGAAACATCAGCAGTCCCTAAGGGAAAATGTCGTCAAATAGTATATACATTGGCCTTAAAGTAGTCCCTATGTAGGTACTTTGGGTCAAAGTATATATTATTTCAGGACATGGACCCTATGGGAGTTGCAGATGAGCTTCTAGTTTCGTAGCCTCGTCGGCAGAATCGAAATCTGCCAAGGAATCGACTTTTGCCTCGAGCTCCGACATTTTCAATGCCAGCCTTGCTGGCTTAGGGTTTGGGGTTTAGGGTTTAGGGTTTGGGGTTTAGGGTGTAGGGTTTGGGGTTTAGGGTTTGGGGTTTGGGGTTTAAGGGTTTGGGGTTTAGGGTGTGGGGTTCAGGGTTCAGGGTTTAGGGCTTGGGATTTGGGGTTTAGGGTTGGGGGTTTAGGGTTGAGGGATCAGCAGCTCCGGATCGAGCAGATTTAAAGTAGTGTTTGTGTCTATGGCTTAGGAATATCACCCACCCACCCTCAGAATCCCATAACATCAGGGAAATACAAAATTTCGTTTCGTCTTTTAGCTTAAACCACTTTCACCGCACGTTAGCACAACAGTAACATCGTTAACATCTACCACTCCTGTTTCAACAAGTTGCTGTGGATGTTCCACTCAAGGCCAGCGACGCGACCCTAAAACATGTGTTCTTCTTACCAATGGATCGGTCAAGATGGCTATTTAAAGAAAGAAAACACTGACCGAAACAATTGAGGCTGCGGTCACGACATCGCTTCACGATAGCAACCACAGCTATCGAATTCGATTTCATGTCTTTCAATGTTTCCACATCGGAGTGTGTCCGCTGATATCCACTTCATTGCTGCAAACAACAAGATCACAGTGCTTTTGCTCTAGAGTCGTTAAACCTTAAAATATTGTGTCTCTCTTGCCGATGAAACGGGCAGGAAAGCTATTTTCGGAAGAAAACACTGCCCAAAGCAGCTGAGGCTGCGGTCACGTCATCGCTTTACGATAGCAACCACAGCTGTCAAATGTCATGACTTGCATCTCCTGGCTGCAGAAGCTAAACCTTAAATTTAGTATAGTGTCAATACCGTTGGATGGTAGTCTTAAGTCAAGTAGCTTAAACAAGCTTCTTTGCTTGATCTGGTCCTAAGCCTTAAACCCTAAAGCCCCCCCCAACCAGGCAGCCATGCTCTAAAGCCCAAGGCAACTCCCCACCCCACCCTCGAACCTACTGATAGGCATAAGCCTTGCACTTGGCCTTGCTCCGCGAACTTGACCTTAAACCACGAATACTTGACCTAAAACCACGAATACTTGACCTAAAACCACGAATACTTGACCTAAAACCACGAATACTTGGCCTAAAACCACGAATACTTGACCTAAAACCACGAATACTTGACCTACAGCCACGAATACTTGACCTAAAACCACGAAGGGTGTTCGCGGGCCAAGGTCAAGTATTCGTGGTTTTAGGTCAAGTAGTCGTGGTTTTAGGTTAAGTATTCGTGGCTTAAGGTCAAAATGACCGAAAATACCAGCTCGACCTTAAACCTCGAATACTTGACCTAAAACCACGAATACTTGACCTAAAACCACGAATACTTGACCTAAAACCACGAAGGAGTTTAAAGTTTAAACATATATATATATGTGAAAGAGAGGTTCAGGGTTTAGGGTTTGGGATTTGGGGGGTTTAGGGTTTGGGGTTTGGGGTGTGTAGACAGTATGCACGCGGTGGGTGCGCTTTTACTTTAGGAATAGGGGCGCACCCACTAATCGCGCGCTTGCGTCAGCATGTAGTCCCGCCCCAACCACCCCAACTATTCTCAATTAGGGTTTAGGGTGCACCCCCCAAACCCCCCTCAAGGGGGGCTTTCTTGCTCTTTGCTTCCTTTCGCAGCTTGACATATGTAAGTAACAATATTTCTCCGGAAATCACAGCTGAAATGGATTCCTGTCGGGTTGTGGGTCCTCGCGGCCTGTGCCGGCCGCTCGACGTAAAGCAAGGATTTCCAACAAACAACTTGCATCTCGCGCCCTGTAAGGGCAGGGCAGGGCAAGGAGTAGGTCAAGAAGCAAGGGCATGCAGGAAGAGGGCAGCAGGGCCAGGGCAGGGCAGCAGGGCAGGGCAAGCAAGACGGCAGGGCAGGGCAGGGCAGGGCGGCAGGGTAGGGCAGGACATGGCAAGCAAGAGGGCAAGGCGACAGGGAGCAGCAAGGGCAGGGAGGGCAGGGCAGGGCAGGGCGGGGGGGGCACCCCGTGCCCCAAAAAAGCACGAGCGGTCTCGATGGTCGTGCGTTTGGTGTCTATCTTTACTGCCTAACGGCAGAGAGGTCATTCGCGGGGCGGCGTCACTACAGTCCTCGTATACCGGGAGGCTTTTCCCTCCCTCACCGTTCTGACGGGACGCTCGGTCGGGGACCTCGGTCAGAGCCTCGAGCGCCCATGCAAATGGTCAGCGGCGCTCTCGGCAGTTTAGGGTTTAAGGTTAAGCGTTTATAAGGATTATAGGGAAGACAAACCCTCGCCCCATGCAGCTCACCGTCAAGAATGGACACCTCCATCCTGGAGACCACAAAAAGTGTCAGGCCAAAAAGTCGAGTATCTCTTCAAGCTTCAGCTTCAGGTCCACTATGATCACAGAGACTTGGTAGACACTGCTCAGTGCTGGCTCCGAAGAAGACGGGGACAGGGTAATTTGCACGGTCAGGTTGAAGCTTCCCACCTGCGTGCAATCGTGCACAGATAAATCGCAAAACATCGAGGCTCAGGCATCATACAACTGCATGCACTCTGTGATAGCATGATGTTACCTCCATGGTGTTGTTGCATGGGTAGGCTGCATTCACACGTTGCGAACTTGCTGGTTCAGCTTTCAACCGTGCCGTCGTGCAAGGCCCCAAGGCTTCTACATCCAAACACTTGAAGACTGGAAGAGCACCGCAGTGATTTTCATTCTGGGGATGGTCTGCTTGTGAAACCAAGCCAATAGCGTGCGTATCTACACTGCTCTTCGGGCGTAAACGACTGCAGCATCATGTTTACACTCATAACCCTGCAAAATCGCTGTGCACCCGACCTCGGTGACCTTTTTGATGTCTATGCTCCCGTTGACGGCGCTGTATGGCTCATCATGGCAGGTGGAGTTAGCGCACCACGAAGAGGTGTAGGCCACCTGTTTACATGTTACAAGGCTTCCGGATAATATAGACTCAGCGCTTTAATTCATCTCTCAATCACCTGTGTCCGACAGATCCAGGATGGTTTATGGAAGCACTGCTATCACCACCGGATTCAGGATGTGGGGACTCAGGCTCCCTATCTGCACGCTCCAGGCACAAACCTGTGCCTACTAACCTGGCGCAACAAAAGTCTCGAAGTACTGCGTGGTGTTCCGGCATCTACTTGCTTGATGGTTAGAAGGTAGAAGTAGAAGTTTGCCTTTGAGCTTTGGGCTGAGATGGCCTGCACATTCTTGGTCCCCAACTTCGGCGCAACATGCAGTGACAGAGGCGCGGATGACTCTGACACGAAGGAGGTCGAGTAGACCCGCCAGCCTGTTCGAGGAAGCTCCCAGGCTTTAACGTTTTGTACGAAATTCTACATGGCAGTTTCCGAGAATAGGGGACCCTACTATAGTAACTAAATAGTAGGATCCCTATTATAAGGACCCCCAACTATGGTACCCCTAATTTTCGGAAACTCCCACATGCCTAAAAAGTTGAAACCCTGCCAAGGCGCGTGAGACCCAGACCTCTCGTGTTTCGCCTTGTTATACAGCTCGACCGCAGCTATCTTGTACTAACCTACAAGACTCTGAATACCTTGTTGCCCTCTATAAACGGCAGGGTAGGTACACGAAGAAATCCAGTAAGTCCCAAATATCCTGAAACCCAGAAAGACCCTGAAGTAGTCCGTAAACCCCTTTTTTGAACCCAAATCCCAATCTCACATCCGAAACCACGGGGAGTAGTACGGTTGATGATACACATCCTGCACTACCCAGAATAAGGAATATACTATGATTTGTATCATCAACACTATACTGAACTTAGAACCCTAGCAGAAATTACATGTCTAGCTGTTTCTTAGGGATTACAATAGCAAAAACAACTATTTCTAAGTATCCCTAAGAACAGTAGTAGAAGAAGTGGGCCTGCACCAAAGGGCTCAAAGGACCCACTCTCTCCTCCCAAATGGCTCTCGATCTCCAGTCCTTGTGGGTATCTGCGGTTTTACACGTCTATACCTAGAGGCTCCATAGTAGTTCCTTTCTGGGGCTCATACTTAGAATCCAAAAAGGTCATCCCAAGAAGGAACTGCTGTGGAGACTAGGGGTAAATTACAGGTTTGTACGGTTCAGGGTCAAGGGCCTCGGGTCCAAGGTTGGTTTTGGAGTTCAGGTTTCAGGGGGCAGGGTGAAAAGCAAGTACCTGAACGCCGCGCACCTACACGCAGCTGCTCTCTGTAACACGGCCCTGCAAATCATAACTACTCGCATTTTTCAAGACCAGTCCCTGACCCCAAAACCCTGAACCTATAGGTTTAGGGCTTAGGGGTCGCGGCTGTCCTTGAAAGACCCTAAACCCCAAACCCCAAACCAATCCCTGAACCCCAGACCCTGGGCTGTCCTTGCAAGGCCAGAGCCGTGAATTCGTGCTGGTGGAAGCGCAGACCAAAGAGCTTCAGCTGACATGTACCGATGTCCTCCTTTGACATGTAGGCCTTCAGGGATTAGGGTTGTGGATTCAAGGTTAGGGCTTATAGGGTTTAGGGGATGGCCTCCTTGGACATGTCAGCTTTTGGGTGCAAAGCCTAGGGTTTTGTGGTTGAAGGTTAAGAGTTTACGGGTTGAGGGTTTAGGTTCAGGCTTTCGGGCCTGGTTCAGGGTTTAAGGTTTCGGGTTTCGGGCTTAGGGTTTCGGATTTCGGTTTCGAGTTGGAGGTTAAGGGTTGTGGGTTTTAAAGCTTGCTTATGCGCTTTGGGTTTAAGGGTTGCAGGCTTCGGGTTTAGAGCTTATCTTAGTTGCTGAGTTCATAAGCCCCCAAAAGTGTACACTTTTAGTTTTATATTTATAGTGGTTGATATTATCCCAAAAAGTGTAAAGTGTATCCACTCAGCTACTAAGTCATCGTTTCGGGTTTCAGGCGCCATGTTTCGGGCTTCGGGTTTCCGGCTCAGGTACATGGCGGCCTTCAGCAAGACTGAATCACCGTGCTCGGTGCCTTCGACAGCTTTGCAGCCTGACACGCAGCAGAATGCGAAGGAGGAGGCCTTGCCAACGCCTAGCTGGAAGCTCATAGAAATTCCCTCCATCCACCCATCCTCCAGGCGAATGAAATAATCTGAAACATCAGGCTTAAACGGCGGGTGTAGGGAACTGTGGGCCAGCTCCATGTCCTGCAGCAGAGGCACCTGCGCCATGCAGAGTCCCAATAGGGACGCCGGCACAGCAAAGCAGAACAGGCTGAACACAGCCATCATCAGGTTGTGGAGGAGCCGAACTTTCGGATGCTCAGGAAAGGCATGTTGTAGTAGCAAGGGCTGGCTCTGCAAGAGCATCTTATCTTCCTTGTGAAGGCCGCAGAAAGTCTGGCTGAAGGTACATTGACCCTCACTTTCACCTTCTGCACCAAGCTTTGCCAAGAATTCTGCTGCGGGCACCACTTCGCAATCATCATTGGCAAATGACTTAATATCCTTCCATTCTGAGACGCCCACACCAAGAAATGTCGAGTTTGCCCACATCAACGTGCCGAAAGCCGTGACTAGCCACGGCAGCAACTGCACCAGTCGCTCGTGCAAATGAGCAACCAAGCACACAGTGGCCGCCAAGTTCACCGCCACACAGGTCCTCCCGGCACCCACCTCTAGCAAGCTTCCAATACCGAGGAAGGCGACGCGGACCCGTTTGCTGGTACCTAGCTTAAGCAGCACATCCCGCAAATGCGCGACTTGCGCAACGGTCACCAGCATCTGCGTGTTCACGGCTACCAGCACGAAACAGGCGACTAAAGCAGAACTAGCTGGCTCCCCAGCCAAGATCCATTTCACAGCCATCAATCCGTGGCTCACTGTGGCAAAGGTCTTGGTCATCACACTCAAGGCGACCTTCAAATTTGAGGGAACGACAATTTCCCCCCTCTAAATGGTCGATTCTTGTACCACCCTACTATAAGGGCTTTAATTTAATAATTACCTATACTATTTTCTTAATGTAATTAAAATATTATGGGCCCCAAAACCCGAATCCAATTATTAAGGCACCTATACTTAAAGCCCACCTTGCAGGAGAACAGCCATGGCTTGTCCACGTCGATGCCCACAGCCTCCTGAACCATGGGCCCTTGTCGGCAGACCTCACTTCCAAGTACTTAGTAAGTAGGTGATAAGTAGAGGTATAACGGGGATCCTAGTCGGGGTTATGACGCTGATACGTCTCTAAAGTGACCAGTTACTAGGTCCCCCGACCCACCAGGTACTGGGCTTAGTATAGCGGCCTTGAGCACATAGGGACCTATGAACTTGATCTATATATATATATATATATATATATATATATATATGGGTACCCCCCTATATGGGGTCCCCTGGGTTTTGGCACACCCACACCACTAAACCATTAAACCATTAAACCATTCCTTTTGCTCCATACCACTAAACCAATAAACCATTAAACCATTAAACCAATCCTTTCCCCCAATGGACCCAAACCAATAAACCATTAAACCATTAAACCAATCATTTCCCCTAGTGGACCTAAACCATTAAACCAATAAACCATTAAACCATTAAACCAATCATTTCCCCCAATGGACCTAAACCATTAAACCATTAAACCAATCATTTTCCCCTATAGAGAGAGACACATCCCTGTATGGGCCGAAAGCATTGGTTTAATGGTTTAATGGTTTAGTGGTTTAGTGGTCTAGTGGTATGGAGCAAACGGATTGGTTTAATGGTTTAATGGTTTAGTGGTTTAGTGGTATGAAGTAAAGGGATTGGTTTAATGGTTTAATGGTTTAATGTTTTAGGTGCATTGGGGGAAAGGATTGGTTTAATGGTTTAGTGGTTTGGTGGTATGGGGTAAAGGGATTGGTTTAAAGGTTTAGTGCTATGGGGCAAAAGGATTGGTTTAATGGTTTATTGGTTTGGTTCCATTGGGGGAAAGGATAATGGTTTAATGGGTTAGTGATGGGTCTAGGGCTGCCTACTACGCAGGTGTCCTGGTTATAACCGGGGACAGAGGTTATAACCAGGCTGCAATATACGTTCAGGGTTTGAAGACTCCCGCCGTGCCCTATAAATCAAATAGATTGGTTTATTGGTTTGATGGTTTAAGTCTTCCGTGTCGTATCGCGCAAGCGAGCCGGTATAATGGTTTAAGTCTAAGTCTCCCCCAAACCCTAGCGCCAAACCCTAAGCACTAAAACCCAAACCCAACACTTGATGGTGAACCTGCAATGGGGTGCCTTGATTGTTTGTTGCACAATATAAACCTTACGAAGCAAATCTGTGCCACCGCTACTTCATCAACACCTAGACCTAGATCCAAACGTTCGAAAGTTTCGGTGTTTCAGGGGAAATGTAACCGCAATGAAACTAAACAAGGACTAGAAGAAGGTCCGAGGTAATTGGCATGTATTCGGTTGTTAAGGCATGATGCAGTGCTTTGTAACAAACATAATTCCGGGGACCATATGCGCATTCCCGAACTTTAGCGGAAAGGCTATATGGCGGACTTTACATAATGGTCTGTCCGTTCCAGTACATCGGGCTTATGAGATCTATGTACACATTGAGAGAATAGCCGCTAACATGTCAATGACCCAGGAATCAAAATGCGGAAGATGAAGGGTCTCTGTCGGGATTACAGTAGGTCAGTAAGTGTTGTCAACATTGGAATATCACGGTACACAAAAAAGTTGAGATACGACTGATACGACGTCATTGTAGGGAGAGATAGTATATCAAAGCTTACAGCGTGGTCAAGTTTCATCACTTCGTACATAGGCGAACTGGTTGCAACGTTATGTTCAAACATCGTTCCAAGGAAGCAGGATTTCGATGAGACAAAACTGATAAGAATATGTGTGGTGAGCGATTTGCAACTTGCAAACTGTTAGGTTTCCTCGCTCGGTACGTAGAAAATTCCTTGCAATGCTATTTCCAACTACATGGATGTACCTCTTTCGAGGAGTGATTCGGTGTGTGTTTGCCACTTTTTCTAAAACGAGGAGCACGTTCTGGATTGGGAACAATGGCTTCTGTTCGACCTTCAGAAAATATTCACAAGAACACAAACAGAAATTCGGACAAGCTAGATGTAGCTATTTATGGTTTTCAGTGAGCTTTACGTGATGGTTAAGGTATGCTGATACAAAAAGCACAGGCCTCATCACTGAGCATATAGAAACAGTGCCAAGCCTAAGAAGCGACGCTTCATGTTGTCCCCCAGGAAAAACACTGTACAAAGTTTGCCAAGCTTGTAGTGTGCAAGTTTTCAATTTTGGCTTGGGGCAGCCGTCATACAGAAATAAGGAATGCACCACTCAAATATACCTACCGGATATACCAGTGTCTACAAGCAATCACATAGGGGCACAGGGATATGTCATTGAAAGCTATCAGTTTGCCAAAACGTCATAGCAATGCGCCCAACAACAGAGACTTTGATGGGATTGCAGCATTACAGTACAAAGATGGAAAACTTTTCGTTCCAAAATTTAGTTCGCGATAAGGAATGACTGAACCAGACTAATGACTACAGCACGCTTGTTGGAAAAAACTGAAATATCGATAATGTATACCTGATTATAAATTATTCGAATGGTTCTAACCTAGTCGGCTGGCTATAACCTAATCGGCTGGTTATAACCTAGTCTGGTGGTTATAGCTCAGTCAGATGATGTAGCGAAAAACGTAGGGGATCCCAAATAGGGGTGCGCCCTATATGGGTACATATATATGTCGTTTCATGTGTTTCGACACCCCTCAAACACGGCTTCTCATAATTAATTATGTTCAGAAACGCTGAGAAGCAGTATCCAGGACCTCCAAAATTGAGTTTATGCTGTGGGGTTTACCTACCGAATACATTGATTTTGCGATATTTGACAAACAGCTGGAAATAAGTTACCGGCACAGCCTTTGAGGCATCAACATGTGTTTTGCTTGCAATGTTTCATACACAAACTTCAAGGCAGTCTTTACCTGAATGAGTTGCAGCCCGTTGAGCCCGGTGCACCTAGCATGGAAGCTTTTTCTTGGGGCACGGGGTTTAGGGCATAGGGTTTGAGGTTTAAAGTCCGCCGACCCTGGCGGCGTGTTGGATGGGTCTCGATGGGCTTGGAGGTGTTAACCTCCCTTTTTCCCTCCTCCCACACCAAAATCCCGCACACCGGGCGCCCCCCGCGGGCCCCCCCCCTCCCCCCCCTCCCCCTGCCCCCCTCTCCCCCCTGCCCGCCTCCCCTCCCCCCCTCCCCCTTCCGCTCCCTTTCCCCCCCTTCCTCTTCAACCTCGGCATCTCCGCTCCAAAGTGCTCCTTGTTCCTACTTCGCGTGATCGTCGCGCAGCCTCGCCGCCTCTTCCCCCCGTTGTGTCTCACAATCTTTTAGAAGCGCACCAGCTTAACCCTGACCCCCAAACCCCAAACCCGAAGACCCTACTATAGGGGCCTTGATGACTAGGATAAGGTTTTGGTGGGGGTATATTACACTATACTTATCATAAGGAACCCCCACACTACTTTAGGAAACTATGGAGGCCCCTACATTAAATCCCAAGAGGGTCCTGAACCGTGGCAGACGGAGGCGCCCGGAGCCGATCCTACATGATCCTACCGCAATTAAAAGGTTAAGATGTTCCTGAAACCCTAACCCTAAACGGTTCTAAAGGTGTTGAACATAGGGTTTCGGGACGGTTTAGGTTTCGGGTTTTGGTCCTGCGGTAAGGCTTTGTTTGCACTTCCCATCTTGGCGTCTCCTTCGAGAACTAAACCTACGGGCCTCGCGGACACCAAACGACTTTGCCTGTACAAGTGCATTCGGCTTCTGGTCTGTCGCCCACGGGGTCGGCGGCTTGAGCCGGAGGCTCTTAAATCGGGCAGCGCTTCGCTGCCCTGTATGGACTGAGCTATGGCTCAGACGAATGAGCTTCGTCTGCGAAGCAGAAGCCACGACCGACAGTGCCGCCGACCCGCCCCGGACCCCGCATCATCGGACCCTCGTTTCTCCCTCGGGCCGCGCGGGGCCTGGCCCGAAGGCGTCTCGGAACGCGCACGCGTTTTGCAGCCATTCCCCGCGGTGTGGCGGGTTTCGGGGCCGCCGTGGACGACGCCAGGAGGCGAGCCGGCGAGCATCATGAGCCCTCGGGCGCCCGCAACCGGCGCCGGCGGCGCGACGTGGGCGCGAAGTCATAACTCCCAAGTTTTTGAATGGGTTGCGGAAGCCGCCAAAGGGCGCGCATCATGAGCATCAGCGGGGTCCGGCGGACGGGGGGTGCGGGCTACATGCAGGGCTGAGAGCCTACGATCACCCACAAGTTGCGCACTTCGGGCCTACGTTGCACTTATCTATATACCGCGGGTTTCTGACAACAGCTCGCGCTGCCCGCACCTGGGCGCAGCCCCTAAATTTAGGGTATAGGATCTGGGGCGTAGTGAATCCAATGGCACCCCACGCAACAATGAGCCGTGGCACCGCTACAGCAGCCAGAATTGCACGAAGGAAGAGGCCCAGCAGCATCACCAGCAACAGCCCCTGCTGGACTCCAAGCTGTTTTCAGAGCTTAACTGGTTCTTGTTAAGGAATTAATTTGAGTTACCATAATACGGATCTATAGTAAACAAAAATGGCTTCCTTATTATGGTAACTTAACTTAAACCTTCACAAGGTTTGGGGATTTGGGATGATTCAAGTTGCGCGTTACGAAGCCTTGAGGCTTACTTTTCGAAGGGGAAAGCAAGGCAACAGCACCTGCAGGATCGCTTCGCTGGATGTCGAGGATTCTGGCGTAGTGGTTCCGCTTGGCCCCTGCTCATAGTTGAGACGTGGCCGAGCCATTGCAAGCAAAGCATGTATCGGCTTAGCAAACTGCTTGATGGGCTGCGGAATCAGTCCTTCCTTATGAATCGAGCTCCTGAACATCAAGGCACAAGGGGATTAGTAATTTCAGTCACATTCACTCCAGGCGGGCAGTGGTGTGACACCAACCACGGGCACACGATCGTGTTTAGGGTTGGCAGGGGTGCCCTGTAACCCTCCACAGGATAGCCCTCGAACCGAAGGACCAAAGCACTGACCATGTTGGGCTTCCGACCTATCCACAACTCTTAATGCAC